TGTTAGGGCACCAATTAAGTCTCTACAAGTTCAAGAGGACTGAAATTACATCAAGCATCTTCTCAGATCACAATGGCATGCACTAGAAATCAATTGCAACAAGAACATGAAAAGACATTTGAAAACGTGGAGGCTAAATTGCATGTTATTGAACAATGAATAGGTTACCATGGAGATCAAGGAAGAAATTAAAAACTTCCTGGAAACCAATGAAAATGAACACAGAACAACACAAAATCTATGGGATGCAGCGAAAGCAATTCTGAGAGGGAAGTTCATAGCACTACAGGCCTACCTCAAAAACCAAGAAAAATTTGTAATAGACTATCTAACTTCACAACTTAAAGAACTAGAAAGCAAACAAAAGAAAACCCCAAGCAAGTAGAAGGAAGGAAATAGTAAAGATCAGAGCTAAAATAAATAACATGGAAACAAACAAACAAACAAAACAATTCAAAGGATCAATGAAATAAAGAGCTGGTTCTCTGAAAAGATAAACAAGATTGATGGACCCTTAGCTAGACTCATCAAGAAACAAAGAGAGAAAACCCAAATACACAAAATCAGAAATGAAAGAGGAAAAATACTGACACCACAGAAATACAAAAAAATGAAAACAAATATTATGAACAATTATATGGCAACAAATTCAACAATCTAAGCCAAATGGACATATTTCTGGAAATATGTAGTCTCCCAACACTGAACCGGGAAGAGAGAGAAAATTTGAACAGACCAATAACAACAAAGAAAATTGAAGATGTAATCAAGATACTCCTAGTAAACAAAAGCTCAGGTCCAGATGGCTTCACGGGGGAGTTTTATTGAGCATTCAAAGAAGAAATAACACCCATATACCTCAAACTATTCCAAAAAATTCAAAAAGAAGGAAGACTTCCAAACTCGTTTCATGAGACCAGCATGATTCTAATTCCAAAACCAGAAAAAGACACTACAAAGAAAAAAAACTACAGGCCAATATTCCTGATGAACATAGATGCCAAGATCCTGAACAAAATACTAGCAAATCAAATCCAGCAATACATCAAAAAAATTATTCACCATGACGAAGTGGGATTCATCACAGGGATGCAAGGCTGGTACAATATTCACAAATCAATAAATATGATACACCACATAAACAAAATGAAAGATAAAAATCATATGATCATATCAATAGACGCTGAAAAAACATTCAACAAAATCCAGCACCCATTTCAGATAAAAACGCTCAGCAATCTGGGAATAGAGGGATCATTTCTCGACATAATAAAGGCCATATATGAAAGACCTACAGCCAACATCATACTCAATGGGCAAAAACTAAAAGCATTTCCCTTAAGAACAGGAACAAGGCAAGGATGCCCACTTTAACCCCTCTTATTTAACATAGTACTGGGAAGTCTTAGCCACAGCAATCGGACAGAAAGAAAAAATAAAAGGAATCCAAATTGAAAAGGAGGAAGTGAAACAGTCATTATTCATAGATGACATGATACTATACGTAGAAAACCCTAAAGACTCCATCAAAAATTTACTAGACTTAATAAATGAATTTGGCAACGTAGCAGGATACAAAATTAACATCAAGAAATCGATGGCATTCTTAAACACCAATGAAGAACTCACAGAAAGAGAAACTAAAAAAACAATCCCATTTATCATTGTGGCAAAAAAATTAAGATACCTAGGAATAAACTTAACCAAAGAAATAAGGGACCTATTTGCAGAAAACTACAGGACATTGAAAAAAGAAATAGAGGAAGATATAAAAAAGTGGAAGCACATACCTTGTTCATGGATTGAAGAATTAACATCATTAAAATGTCCATACTACCCAAAGCAATCTATAGATTCAATGCAATTCCCATCAAAATACCAACGACATACTTCACAGAACTAGAACAAAAACTCCAAAAGTTCATATGGAACCAAAAAAGACCTCAAATAGCCACAGCAATCTTGAAAACGAAGACCAAAGTTGGAGGAATCACATTACCAGATTTCAGTTATACTACAAAGCCATTGTAATCATAACAATCTGGTACTGGCACAAGAACAGGCATATAGACCAGTGGAACAGAATTGAGAACCCAGAAATGGACCCAAGGCAATATGCTCAATTAATGTTTAACAAAGATGGCAAGTGCATACAGTGGAGTCAAGACAGCCTCTTTAATAAATGGTGTTGGGAAAATTGGACAGCTAGACGTAAAAAAATGAAAGTAGACCATCAACTTACACCATACACAAGAATAAACTCAATATGGATAAAACACTTAAATGTGACTCATGAATTCATAAAAATCCTTGAAGAAAATGTAGGCAACAAAATTTCAGACATCATACGCAGCAGAATTTTCACTGATACATCACCTAAGGAAACAGAAACAAAGGAGAAAATGAACACACGGGACAAGATCAAACTCAAAAACTTCTACACAGCAAAAGAAACAATCAGCAAAGTGCAAAGGCTACCCATTGTATGGGAGAGCATCATTGCCAATGATATATCAGATAAGGAGTTAATTTCCAATATATATAGAGTGCTCATATAACTCAACAAAAGGATGACAAAGAACACAATTAAAAAATGGGCAGAGGAACTAAATAGACACCTCTCCAAACAGGACATACAAATGGCTAAGAGACATATGAAGAAATGCTCAACATCACTAATCATCAGAGAGATGCAAATTAAAACAACAATGAGGTATCATCTCACACCTGTCAGAATGGCCGCCATCAACAAATCATCAAACAACAAGTGTTGGCGAGGGTGTGGAGAAAAGGGGACTCTAGTACACTGCTGGTGGGAATGCAGACTGGTACAGCCACTACGGAAAACAATATGGTGTTACCTCAACAAATTAAAAATTGAACTTCCATTTGACCCAGTGATCCCACTTCTAGGAATATACCCTAAGAAGCCTGAAACACCAATCAAAAAGACTATATGTACCCCCATGATCATAGCAGTACTATGTACAATAGCTAAGATCTGGAAACAGCCCAAATGTCCATCAGTAGACAAATGGATAAAAAAGCTGTGGTATATACACACAATGCAGTACTACACAGCTGTAAGAAAGAAAGATGTCTTATCCTTTGAGATGACGTGGAGGGACCTGGAAAGTATAACAAGCCAAGCAGAGAAAAACAAATATCACATGATCTCACTTATTTGTGGAATGTAATGAACCTAACAGTCTGAAGAACGGGGTAGTCCCAGAGACGTGGAAGTGGGGTACAGACTGACAATCCCCTGAAGAGGTGGTGGGGTGGAGATAAACCACAGAACTTATATGCATGTATATATGAACAATGGACATGGACAACAGAAGTGGGGACAGGGTGGGAGGGAGAAGGAGGCGAGAATCAGTGGGGGAAAAAGGAGAAATATCTGTAACAAAAATAAATTAATTAATTAAAAATAAAATAAAATCAATAAAGATTAAAAAAAAAAAAAAGGAATGACAATGGTAATAGTTCTCCCTGCCGCACGGTTCTGGAGATCAATTGGAATCACGCTGGCTATGCATGTCCATGGGTTTAGCACAATGTCCAACAAACAGTGCCTGTTTTCTGGTGAGAGGAGGGCAGTCAGATCATCAAGATGTCAGTGAAGCCCTGGTCCACTCTATGTCCCCAGCCATGGCCATACATGAACCTCAAAGTGACAGACCTGCACCCTGGCAGTGAGAACATCTGGCACTTGGTTAGGCAGAGTAGAGACAAGAGCATAGCTTGTGCTATGCCAGTGGGTCAGCAACCTATGGTACTGAGCAGATGGCCTGGGTTCTGCAGGGCACAGTCTGGCTTTGCATCTTCGACTTGCTACTCCAAAACTCAGCCATCAAAAGAAAAAAAGGTTATGACCATAACAAATACTGAAGCACCAGAAAGGGGACTAGAAGTTCTATGTATGCTGTGACTAGGTACTGTCGAGCACACAGCTGTTATTCCAGCTGCAGATCAAGCAAGAAGGCCATTCCTGTGCGAAGAAGTAGAATTGTGTCCCTTGGGGTGAAGCCCAATCTCATACATCCCTATCACCCCCACCCCTACCTCCAAACCTAATCCAGATTCAGCTCATGTGGAATGCTGAGCATACACTGAGCTAGATGCTTTTATGTACATTTCCTTCAAGCCTCTTACTGTAAGGCAGTGGTTCTCGACCTTTCTAATGCCGTGACCCTTTAATACAGTTCCTCATGTTGTGGTGACCCCCAAGTATAAAATTATTTTCCTTGCTACTTCATAACTGTAATTTTGCTACTGTTCTGTCTTAGGCGACCCCTGTGAAAGGGTCGTTCGACCCCCAAAGGGGTCGCGACCCACAGGTTGAGAACCGCTGCTAAGGTTAGTTTTATGACCACCATTCCAGGTGCCCCACTAAGCTGTGTGACCCTGCTTCACCATCATCTCCACAGCCAAGGCAGCAGCCCCAGGCACAACCTCCCAAGCCCCCCAAAAAACTCACCACTAGTCAGGCTGTTTACAGCAGCCAGGCTCTGCTAAGACTCAAGTGCTCACCCCCTCTAGCTTCTGCGCCCTGCTGGAGTTGGTCTGCTGTGGGTTCTGATGGGACAGAGTGCCTAGCTTCACCCACTGAGCAAGAAACCTCGGACAGGGCCTGGGCCTGGGCGCAGCACGCTATTGCTAAATCATGTTTCATTGCCTCTTTCCTAGAGCCTGTGGCTTCCCAAATGGCTGTCACCAAGTCAATATTTTTCACCGTTCCTTTCCTAAAGTTTATCAGAAGGGATATAGGCTACTGAGGTTTTGTGTCATCTCAGGCAATGACTAGTTGGTCCATCCATCCCTCAGCTGGGGGTACTGAGGCTCCGAAGTATTGTGACTTGCCCAAGGCAGCAGCTAAGTGGTGAAACAGTGGTAGGAGACAGGCCCACTCTGTGGATACCTTCCTGTACAGCGTTAGGGAACACTAGGAGCAAATGAGGAGAGAAGCGAGTGAGGAGGTGGGAAGGCAGGCTTACCTGTTTCATTTCCTGTGGAGTGTACAACATGGTACGGATGATCATTACTCGGTCCAGAAGGTCAAGAGGGATACCATGAGGTGAGGTGATATCCTCAGTGCCCCTGCAAGAGCCAGAGTAATCATATCACCCTGGGCTCTTTGAGACCAGACTCTGGACATTGGAAACATGGCTGAGATGCTCACAATGACAAACAGCTAGTTCACGTCCTAAGAATCAAAGCCATGGTAAACAGACTAATACTCAGTTATTATCAAAAACATTATTTGAGCAAGTATCAACACCATAGAAAATTTGGGAAAGAGAGAGAAAAAAAACCCACCAAAAAAATCATATTTGCCAAATGTTCATATATACATTTTTATAAACTACACTAAGTATGTAGATTTTATTTTGCTTTTGTCTATGTCACTTTAGTCGTAACCCATCAGGTATTTTATACAACCCAAACTATTGGGCATTTAGGTAGTTACTATTGTTACTATTTAGGTAGTTTACATTTTAGGTAGTTACATTTAGGTAGTTACTATTGTTACTATTTTTATTAATGATGCTTCGATAAACAATTGTGTACATATAGTCATGAACATTTCCTCATAAATTCTACTAGTACCTGACACAATCCTGAATGTCTATTTGAATGGATGAATGAATGTCCTAATTTACAAAGCTACACAAGTGATCAGATCTCACTGCATTATAGCCAGCACTGGGTATTCTAATTTTTTACATATTTTGCTGCTTTGATAGTTTAGAAAATGGAAGGGTACCATCTTGTTTGAATTTGCATTTCTTTGATTCATCTGAATATTTTCCCTTATATGCACTAGTTATTTTTTTTCTTTTGGGGAAACGTCCAGTCATGTCCTTTTCCTGTTTTCCTCTTGGATTCTTAGCCAAGCCATAGGAAGAATAGGCCAGAAGAGGAGCCCTGTTAAACTCACCAGGCCCTGAGGTACCAGCTGTTTGCCTGGCAGGATGCGTGCTGGGCAGACCTGGCAGCCCACAGGGCCAGGCCTCAGACACAGCGTCTGGAAGCCTCAACCTTCGAGAGTCACAGCAGCAGCAGGTCTGCCTCAGCATCGTTTCTAGTGCCAGATTAGAGTCTATGGTCGTAACTTATCAATATAACAAAGAAAAAGAACAGCCCAGCCAGTAGGTTACTGGTTTGATTCCCAGTCAGGGCATATGCCTACATTGCGGGCTTGACCTCCAATAGGGAGCATGCAGGAGGCAGCTGATTGATGTTTCTCTCCCTTTCCCTTCCTCTCTCTTTAAAAAAAACAAAAACAAACAACAACAAAAGAAAAATTACAGGTCATTTGGATTTAACTGTTAAAATCAGAATATTTGGTTTCCAATCTAAGTAAACATTGTAGAAATAAACTTCAGTAAAAAAAAAATCTTGAAAATTCTCTGTGGTCAATTGAAGTATAAATGTATATTTACTGCTGCAACAATAAAATATTCTGATATATGCTACAACAGGATGGACCTTGAAAATATTATGTCAAGTGAAAGAAGCCAATTATAAAAGGGCAGATAGTGTATGATTCTGCTTATAGGGAAAATCTTAAAAAAAAAAAGGCAAATTTGTAAAGACAATAGAATAAAGGTTACTGGAGGAGGGAGACGGGGAAATGGGACTTACTGGTTAAGGGGTACAGAGTTTCTGTTTGGGGCGATGGGAAAGCTTTGGAGATGGTGCTGATGGTTGTAAAACACTGTGAGTATAATTACTACAACTGAACTGTACACCTGCTGTTTCCCCTCCTTCTCTATCTCTCTCCCTCCCTTCCTCCCCTCCCCCAACCTGTTTCTGCTCTCTCTAAAATCAATGGAAAAAATATCCTTGGGTGAGGATTAACAAAAATAAATGTTTTTGCCCTGTGGCCAGTGGTGTTCAATGGTTAGAGCGTCGGGTCATGCAGAAGGGTCACAGATTCGATTGAACCTAGGTTGCAGGTTCAGTCCCAGGCCCTGGTTGGGGAGTGTGTGCAGGAGGCAACCAATCAATGTATTTCTCTCTCATCGAAGTCTCCCTCTCTCCTTCCTCTGGGGGTTGAATGACCCTTTCACAGGGGTCGCGTAAGGCATAACAGTAGTAAAATTACAGTTATAAAGTAGCAACAAGAATAATTTTATGGTGGGGGTCACCACAACATGAGGAACTGTATTAAAGGGTCGCGGCATTAGGACGGTTGAGAACCACTGCACAGACACGTGTGCAAAAATTTTAACTCAAAGGCTCCTCTACTATGCAACTTTGACATTTTGGACCAAACAATTATTTTTGTAGAGGACTGTGCACTGTAGGATGTTAGCAGTATCCTTGGCCCTCTACCCACTAGAAGCCAGTAGCACCAGGTAAAAATTTCCCTGCATCGGAATCACTGCCTGATCGCTTCTTCTTCTTCTTTGTAGTTAATCCTCACCCAAGAATATTTTTCAGTTGATTTTTTTTAGAGAGTGGAAGGGAGGAATGGGGGAGAGAGAGAGAAACATCGATTGGCTGCCTCCCACATAAACCCAACTGGTGCCAGGGATTGAACATGCAACCCAGGTACATGCCCTTGACCAGGAATCAAACCCACAAACCTTCAGTCTCCAGGCCAACGCTCTAACCTCTGAGCCAAACAGGCTGGGGCCTGACTGCTTCTTTATATAACCTTATAACTGCAGGGATACAGATAATAAAGCTTAAAGTTTCTATGATGACAGGAAGCACAGTAGAGAACACTTCTCTGGGTAACATGAAAGGTAATTCCCATAAGTCCACTGAGCCCTAAGAAGAAAGCCATTTGATATTTTGATGAGGCTGCCAAGACAATTCAATGAAGTCTTTTCAACAAACAGTCCTGGGACAACTGGGTATCCACATGCAAAAAAATGAAGTTGGACAGACCCATCCCTTACACCACACAAAAAAATAAACTCTAAGTGATCAGAAACCTAAATGTCAGAGCTACAACTGACAATCTCTTGTAAGAAATCATAGGTATAAATCTTTGTGACCTTAGATTATGTAACCAATGGTTTTTCTTAGATAAGAGACCAAAAACACAAGCAATAAAATAAAAAAAAACATAAATTGGATTTCATCAAAATTTAAAACTTGGGTGTCAAAAGAAAGACACACTCAAAAAGACATTGAAAAGACAACCCACAAATGTGAGAAAAAATGTTTGCAAATAATGTATCTGGTAAGGGTGCAGTATATAGAAAACATAAAGAATTCTTACAAGTCATTGCCACTAGCAATGCTGAGATGAGGCCTCAACTTTCAAACAGGAGTCCAGAAAACCAAAAGTGCAAAAGAAGTACCAAGTATGATACAAGGTGCTGCTACATAAACTCTGGAGCTCACAGGCCTACAGAATACTCAGGATAAAAAAGAATCTCAAGCAAGTCCCCTGTCCCAGCCTTGGGCCCATCTTGGCAGGGTAAGCATTATTTGAGCATTTGCCTCCAGGTGTCAACACCTCCCCTTTTCAAAGACAGACCTAAGGGAATGGGGTTAGGGAAGGCACCAGTGCAGCTCCTAGAAGGTCTGAATAGAGAGATAATTCTGGTTTTGTTACTGGTTTCACTGTCAGAAAGACCTGGGTTTTCATTCTATCTTTATGACCAGGGGCAAGTGAAGCTGTCATTCTGTTTCCTCATCTGAAAAATGAAGCCAGGAATACTTATCTTCCAGAGCTAGTATAAGGATAGTTAACATACATAATATCAGCCAAGACCAGCCTGTCTAATCTTATCTTTGCCCACTCCAACTGAATAACCAAATCATACCACACAGTAAGACCAGACACCCCATGGGAGGCCCTCATCTTCAGTAACAGGGTGGCTGTTGCCTTTGGTGACTATGAGGGATTGAGGCTGGAGACATGAACTGCCTTTGAAGGCAAGCCACTTTAGCATGTTTCTCAAAATGAACAAGACCTCCCTCCCTCATCCTCATCCCAACTCATGATGTAATAATAGGTTTAAAGTGATCCCAGAGGAACAAATGAACCCAGATGGAAGGTGAAAAACTCTCAAGGCTGGCAGACAGCAACCCTACCTGATGACACAGTTGCCTCGGTTAGATGCAAAGATGACGATGGGGGCAATTGAAGATTCCAGGGCCCGGTGCAGGTAAGTGAAGCACTCAATGTCCAGCATGTGGACCTCATCAATAAAGAGCACACCTGGAACCAGCTCAGCAATGCCCTGATCAATGTACTTGTTCACCACCTTGTTAATCTCCCCTCGAAGTTTGTCTAGGAGACAGCAAGGGTAGACAGCAGGATCAGTACCAGGTGGGGAAAACTGTCATCTTTTCTCTTCTCCCCTCACCTGAAATGAACCCAAACCCAAGTTTGGAGCCTGGTTTTACTGTTAGCTAAGTGACCCCAGGCAAGTTATGTCCCTACTCCAGGCTTTGGTTTCATCGTCTGAAAATAGGAATAATCACACCAGAAATCAAAGAATGGGCAGTCTCCTCTAAAGATGTGCTTTAAGTCACACTCCCCACGAGGCCTTATTACACCCACCCACTGACCCAAACTTAGCTTTCTGCCTGATCCCAGAGACACTGGAGTTTGGAAGCTCTGAATGAAATGAGTTTCCATATACACATTTTCCTGTTCTGCACTGCTAAATGACCACTTCTTGGCCCTATATGACAAAGCTTAGGTTAATTAGCTTTCAATCAAGTGCCTGGACAAAGAAATGAACAGAAGTCCTCTCTCTGGAAGGAAATCCATGAGGAATGAAAGGTTCTGAGAAAAGGTCCAATCTCAGAGTTCTAAGATGGATGAGTCTCTCAAAAGTTAAGGAACCCATCTAAGGTCACAGTTCTCATTTTCCAAACCAGCTCCTGTGCTATCATCTAGAGGGAGATACTCACAAACACAGAACCTTAAGATTTGATACAGCATCTCTCACCAAAGCCATGAGGCAGGGATGGTAAAGAGAAGGTGCATGGTCAAATTCATGTTCAAATACAGAAACTGCTCTTGGTAACTCTAATAGAAAGGCCTCAGATCACTCCACTGGCTAAAATTTCAAAGAAATAGATGGTTTAATGTTTAACATTTTAAGGTGACAAAGCTATAGGTGGTGAATAGAAAGAAAAAAAGGGGGGGCGGGATTTTCCAGTTGGGACGAGAAGCAGGATAAACTAAAGGCCCACAAGGGAGCAGCAACACTCCTACCAAGCTCTGGGAAGTACCCAGGAGGCTGAACAGGGTGGAATTGGGACCCCTGGCAGGGGAGGGGAGGCTGGTACCCAAGCAGCAGAGCTTGCTGTGTTCAGTTGTGCTCTGGCAGGAGCTATCCTGTAGAGCTGGGGTGACACAATCCACTATTCTGGGACCTCGGAGGGAATAGAGATTGTGGCAGCTTCCAATGCAGTCAAGAGGGTATGCTAGAAAGCAGGGCCAGAGAGTATTCAGTATGCTTTTGGCTGTCTAAACCAGATACAGACTATTAGCATGGAATCTGGCTCTGAAGACAACGAAGGAAAAACCTGTCCTGAGGTACTTCCTCAGTTTTGGGGTAGAATCACAGAGCCTCACATAGAATGGATATCAGAATTTAGGGCCCTCTAGCTCTGCTTCTGGCTCACAGTCCTTGCTGTTTCTGTTACCTGTGATTTCTGTCTTCTTTGGCTTCATTAACTGGCCCATCATAGACAGGATGTCTTGTCCACCCTGTGTAAGAAAAGACTTAACAGTCAGTCCTGCTTTCTAAGGCAGCTGCAAAAGCGTCACCTACCCCACCGCCTATCCCTGGTTCCCAACATTAACTCAACGGGGTCCTGAGGTGTACAGACCCTGAACAGCTCCACTGGGAAGCTTAACCAGCTTCTATAACAAGAATTCTTATTTTTCTCCAATTTTTATTAATTTATTTTTGTTACAGATGTTTCTCCTTCCCCCCCGTAGACCCCCCCTCCTCTCCATCCCACTCCCCCACAACCCCCCTAGATTGTTGTCTATGTCCACTGGTTATGCATACACGCATATAAGTTCTTTGGTTCATCTCATCCATCCCCCCGCCCCACTCCTCTGAAGTCTGTCAGTCTGAACCATACTCCTTTCTATGTCTCTGGGTCTATTTCGTCCATCAGCCCACCCTGTTCACTATATTCCACAAATAAGTGAGATCATGTGGTATTTGTCTTAAGAGGTTCTCCCTAACCTGTAAGACTCCAATTAAATTCTTTCATGGGAAGTACAAGCTCTGTGAGGCCTGCCCCAACCTCCATCTCCAGTCATGTCATATCTTTTTCCAATCCCACATGCCTAGATTGGCCACACAGGACTACTAACCGTTCTCTGAACACCCAAGCTCTTTTATGACTCAATGCTTTTGCGTATTCCAGTCTATCTGGTCAGAACTGCAGTCTTTCCTGGGAAGCTCCCAGTTATCCATTAAAGTTCAGGTCAAAGATCTTCTGTGGGGTATCTGACCCTCCTGATGCTTCAGCTCCCTTGGGAACAAATGGACTGTCAAAGCAGATATATGTTTCTGTGTTTCCTCTTACTAGACTCGGCTACACGGTCACATTAAACTAGTCCTAACCTGGAGCTGCTCAGAGTCCGTGAGCCTGTCCCTGCTAATAGCTGACTCCTAATAGGCTTACCCCCTGCCTGAACCCTCCCCACCAGCTCCTATGGGTGCAGCCAGCAAGAAGAAACTGCTGTTTTGTCCTTTATAGCATAATCAGTGATCACCTGTTGGTTACCAGATCCTGGTACACAGAGGTGGCTCACTAAATGTTCAAGAGTAAAAGGTAGGCCCGACCAGTGTGGCTCATTGGACTGAGCGTTGTCCCAATGGTCTAAGAGGTCCTGGTTCAATTCCCAGTCAGGGCACATGCCCCAGTAGCAGGCTCGATCCCCAGTAGGGAGCGTGCAGGAGGCAGCCAGTAGATGTTTCTCTCTCACATCAACATTTCTCTCTCTCTCCCTTTCTCTCTTTAAAAAAAATCAAAACATTAAAAAAAATGAAAAAGTAAAAGGTAGCAAATGTTTCCTGAGGACTTACACCTGATCCTCAAAACAGCCCTATATGCAGGAACTATTATATCCTTTTCACAGAGGAAAAAACTCAGAATCAGAGAGCCCTAAACCACAGAAAACCTGGAGACCCAAGGTGACTAATTAGCCAAGCTCATTAGTGTCACAGCAACACAATCCCTGACTTCCAATTCTCAGCCCAGCAACCTCTTCAAGGCAAAGGCTCCCAGGAGTTGGTTTGGGGACAGCCATTCCACAAGCAGAGGGGACCTGTTGGTCCAAGATGATTCTTCAGTAATCTCTTGGCCAAGGCGCCAAGGGACAAATACCCAAGGATCCAATTTCAAATTCAAAAGGCTATTCCCTACTAGTGAAGAGGTGGCCTCTCTTGGGATGAGAAAAAAGCAAACTGAAGACTACCAGCAAGGAAGAGTTGGGTTTTTTAAATGGCATTTCCCAGAGTGTCATAAAGTCATACTGTATTTTCCCATAAGGCAGCTATCTTCTACTCAGCATGAGCAACTTATACAGGTCCCACTCAAAGCTACAAAACTGGGGACTTTGCTAAGCAGGGAGAAAGACACAGCTTTGTCAGGCTTCCTGAACTTCTGCATACGGCTTCAAGAATACTTCTTCCCTCCCATCATTAATACCCAGAGAATCCCAGATGTGAGCCCACTGCTGCAGAGAAGCCACAGAAGCTGTGTAGCTCAGGGCCAGAGGCCTGGCTGGGATAAGGAACAATACATGTCAAATCATCTGTGACTAGAGCATTTGAAATGGAAGAAAGGAGTCATTAGTAGCTCATGTCACTGTTCATTGCTAAACATTACAGACAGAAAAAGACTTGTTGCCCTAAGAAAGAGCAGCAAGACTGACAATTCGCTCCCAGAGCTTCCATGCACATGCAAAAGGGCTCATATGCCAGGTCATGCTCAGGTAAAGGTAGTGTACCTGGGGCCGGGCATTGGCCACGTCCAAGTCATGCAAGGTCACATCCTGGATGATTTCTTTCTTCTTGTGCACATCCCCCTTTGGCAAGGGGACATACTCTTCAGCTTCAAGGTCAAATTCTGTGGCATACGTATCACACCTGCCCTGTCTCTGCAAAAGGAGAGAAACCTGAGTGCCTGCCAAGTCCCCAAATGGCACATTGCTAAGTGAGATAAAGTCTCACTTCCCAAATGTGGGCCTGACAGCACACTCAACCAACTCCAAATATTACCCACTCCCCTGCTGCCAAGAAAAGGAAGCTATCTGCTCATCACTGGGCTCCAAAAACCCAGTTGAAAAACACCCGATACTTTCTCCAAGAATATTTTTCCTCCTCTTTCAACTGTATGCAATTCCCGATAAAGAACAAACCCAATAGATTAACTGGAACCGGAGGAAGCTGTTTAGACTCCTTTGTAGGTTGGTGATTTATTGTATGATATGAAGTATTATACTCATCCATTAAACAGTGAGGAATACTGTACAGGACACTGAAAATCAGATATAAAAGGAATGCCAACTAATGCGGCATTCCTTTCCACACACATATATCTTGAGAATAAAATACCAAAGAGATAAAAATAAAAATAAGATTAAATATCCTGCACATTTCAATTTAAAAATGACTACAGTTGTTTTGCTTTCTCACCCTGTACTCCCCTTCTAAACAGGCTTTAGTATTTTTCTAACAGACTTTTTAGAACAAAAATAAAGGGAAAGCAAACTTTATTCAACATAAGGCAGCAACTGCTGACCTTCCATCAGCATCGCACCAGACATTCCGTAACTGCCACCAAAGAAAGCAACTTCCTGGTCATCTAGGTCTCACTATAGCAAACAAATCAGGCATTACCTTCACAGCTCCACTGTTGGCTTCAATATAAATCACATCTCCAGTCTCCACTCGCTCTTTCTGCAAACTTTCAAAAATGCTGGGGTCCAGCTTAAAATTTTTAAAAAATAGGTGAATCAGAGAATGGTAATACATATTATATTTATTTCTGACATACTGTAAAGTATCTTTCTGGACTGACTTCCGGTCAAGTTGGCAAACTAGGTAAATGCAGTATCATATCCTCCCACAACCACATCAAAGTTACAACTAAACTACAGAACAACCATCATTCAAAACTGCCTGAAATCCAGCTGAATGGAAGTCCTACAACTACGGAATTAAAGAAGCAGCCACATTGGGACTGGTAGGAGGGGCAGAGGCGGACAGGCTGGTATCACACTCCCGTGTGGCGGATAAAATTCAGGAGGACACCTCGTCTGGGAAGGTCCTGTCTGAGGACTGAGGTGTCCCCATCCCACACCAGGCGCCCCGCTCAGGGTTCCAGTGCCAGGAAGAAGTCCTCATAACTTCTGGCTGTAAAAACCAGCAGGAACTGAGGCTCAGGAAGGCGGAGGCAGCTGAAGCCCCAGGCAGCTCCTCTTAAAGGGTCTGTGCACAGACTTATCGGACTTGCTCCCTCTAAGCTTAGAGGGGAGGCAGCTCAAGGGGCGCCAGAGACATACATGAAAGAACTGAGCTGTTTGGCATTGGAGCAAGGGCTGGAGAGGGGTCTATCTCCAGGACAAATGTTCTGTCAAAGGCCTTTGTTCCTTTGGTGAGCCCTTCCCTGGGGCGGCATACAAAAGCCATATCTGGGACTCCAGCAACCTGGCTCACCCTGGTGATTCCCTGAGGCCCCGCCCCACAAACTTTCAGGCCCACCCAACCTGTTGCTAGTTGGTTAACTGTAGGATTGGCCTGTCTTGGATCCTGCTTCAGGTTTTCCTAAATTCTTTCAAACAAGCAGCATCTGGTCTCAGATAGCCCCATACCTCTACTTAAGTAATACACAGAAACAAACACAGAGAGGCAGCCAAAATGAGGAGACAAAGAAACAGGTCCCAAATGAAAGAACAGAACAAATTCCAGGAAAAGAACTAAGCGAAATGAAGATAAGCAACCTAACTGATGCTGAGTTCAAAATACTGCTTATGAAGATGCTCAATGAACTCAGTGAGAACCTCAGTGAACTTCGTGAGGGCCTCAAGAGCATTAAAAAGGACCATACAGAAATTAAGGAGGTACAGTCAGAAATGAAGGAGGCAGTAACTGAAATAAAGAATAATTTACACAGATTCAAGAGTAGAGTAGGTAAAGCCAAAAAGCAAACCACCGATTTGGAATATAAGGAAGCAAAAAATACCCAATCAGAACAGCAAAAAGAAAAAAAAAAATGAGGATAGGCCCTGGCCGGTTTGGCTCAGCGGTTAGAGCGTCGGCCTGCGGTCCGGAGAGACCCGGGTTCGGTTCCCGCTAGGGGCACGTACTTCGGTTGCAGTTTGTCCCCGGCCCTGGTTGGTCGTGCAGTGGCAGCCACTCGATGTGTCCCTTTCACATCGATGTCTCTCTCTCTATCTCTTCCTCTCTCTCCCCTCCACTCTATCTGTACAAAAAAATGGAAAAATGTCCTCGGGTGAGGGAAAAAAAAAAAAAAAGAGGATAGTATAAGGAGCCTCTGGGATCACTTCAAGCATGACAACATTCGCATCTTGGGGGTGCCAGAAGGAGAAGAGAGAGAACAAGAAATTGAAAACCCATTTGAAACAATAATGGCAGAAAACTTCTCTAACTTGGTGAAGGAAACAGACATACAAGTCCAGGAAGCACAGAGAGTCCCAAACAAGATGAACCCCAACAGGCCCACACCAAGACACATCATCATCAAAATGCAAAAGGTTCAAGACAGAGAAAATCTTAAAAGCAGCGAGACAAAAGCAGTTAGTTACCTACAAGGGAGTTCCCATAAGACTGTCAGCTGATTTCTCAAAAGAAACTTTGCAAACCAGAAGGGAGTGGCAAGAAATATTCGGAGTAATGAAAAGCAAGAACCTACAACCAAGATTACTCTATCCTGCAAAGCTGTCATTTAGAATAGATGGCCATATAAAGAGTTTCCCACACAAGGAAAAGCTAAAGGAGTTCATCACCACCAAACCATTATTGTATGAAATGTTGAAAGGTCTTCCTGAAGTATGAACAAACAAAATGGCAATGAATACATATCTATAAACAATGGAATCTACAAACAAAATGAACAAGCAGAACAGAAACATTCTCATAGATACAGAAAACATTTTGTTGTTTGCCAGATGGGAGGGGGGTTGGGGGAATGGGTGAAAAAGGTGAAGGGATTAAGAAGTACAAATTGGTTGCTAGACTGACAAACCTCAAAGGAAAGTGGGGTTGAGGGTGAAAGAAATAAACCAAAGAACTTATATGCATATATACATAACCAATGGACACAGACAACAGTGTGGGGAAAGGCAGGAGGGGGGCAGGAGGGGGTCAATGGGGGAAAAATGAGGAACATCTATAATACATTCAACAATAAAGATAAGTTTAAAGAATGAATGAATGAATGAATGAATGAATAAATAAAAACCAAACCAGGATCTTTCCCAAGTCTTTTTATTCAAATCCCAGTGTTTGCTCCATGTTTGCCTGCCTGTTTATATCTCCAAGGAAAGTAGCATATTTTGGGAACTGCTGATTTTCTCCAGAGTATCCGGATTCAGGCTACCCTTGATGGTCAATATTCTAGGACAGCATCTTTTATAAGGAGTTAATATTTAAAACAAAGTCTCTCTCAGTTAAACTTCATTTAATATGAAAAAAAAACTTGGGCTTTGTCTCAAACAAAATTAAAGAGTAAAAACCCAGGATTCAGTAAAAGAAGCCAGACACACAAGAACGCATATTGTATGATTCCATTTTTATGATGTTCATAAAAGGTAAATAGTATATAGAAATGGAAAGTAGGCTATGGATGAGAATGGAAAGCTACTGTAACTGAGCATGAGGTTTCTTTGGGGTGATAAAAATGTTCTACAATGGTCAGTTGTAATGGTTGTATACAACTCTGTAAATAGATCTAAATTCCTTGAGTTGTACACTTAAAAAGAGTATGTTTATTTTAAATTATATCTCAATTAAGCTGTTGCAAACAGCAATGGCTTCCAGGAACACTTTCATGGACAGGAGAGACAGTAGTTGGAAAGCCTCTGACACAGGGCATGAGGTGAGGGAGGAACTTGATACTGATTGCAAGTATGGTATACTCCTGCACACTTAAATATCCACAAGTATTAAAGCTCCATCTATCCAAATATCTTGTATATATGCTCAAAGTGGCTAGAAGTACTCATTTTAAAAGAAAAAATTCACCTCTCTCTTGTTATTTTCTTAAAGAAACTGTGCAAAGCAACCTTATGGATAGCTGAAATCTAAATTTCATGCCTTATTTTATCTATCATACACTGAAGAACACATACCTTTTTTTTGCTTCAAGCATTTTTATACTGGTTAATTTCCCAAATGAATTGACTGAAGATGCAATTACTGGAAAGGTGGCAGATCCTACTAAGAAATCTAATACAGAATGGAAGATGAAGGGCAGGTTTAAAAAAGATTATTTGCAGAGGCATGCTAGGAAAAAGAAAAATGACCTTTTGAAGAAGAGACTTTTTTTGTTTTATGATTTCCATAAAGCAGTGGTCAAGAAACCACCTCATAGAATTAAAGAACCATAAAATCACACAGGAGAACAAAGATAGAGAAATTATACTTCAAATTGTAATCAATCTACTGCAATTTATACATGGGAAAATGAAGGTCCAGAGCTCAACTGATTTCAAAAGGTCATACAGCAGGTTGGAGGGCACTCTACCACTTAACTAGTTGTATAACCCTAAATAACTGCTTAACCTCTTTATGAGCTTCAGTTCCTTTATCTGTGGGAAATTACACACACACATACATAAACACAAAGTTATAAATGATAAGAAATATTTGTTGGAGCTCTTAGCCCAGGGCCTGGTACATACAGTAAATGAGAGCTATGATGATAATGTTTTATTATTAATAATAAAGCAAAGCTAGCAGTGGTTAGAGCATCGGCCTGCACACTCAAGGGTCACAGGTTCGATTCCTGGTCAAGGGCAAATACCTGGTTGCAGGTCCAATCCACACCCTGGTTGGGGTGTGTGCAGGAGGCAACCAATTGATGTGTTTCTCTCACACTGGCATTTCTCTCCCTCTCCCTCTCCCTCTCACACACACACACTGGTGTTTCTCTCTCTCCCCCCCCCCCCACTCCCTCCCTTCCACTCTCTCTAAAATCAATGCAAAAAATATCCTTGGGTGAGGATTAACAACAATAATAATGATGATGACGCAAAGCCTACAATCTAGATTGCCCTGTTTTTCTAATTGAAAACTCTGATAATAACATCAGAAGTTACTCCTTCTTAAGTAACTAGGTGCCACATCCAAAGCTACAATTTTTATTCTTGAAAAAATTCTGTGAGATAGGCAGTTTTTATTTCCATCTAACAGCTAAAGATAAAGTTACTTTCCAAAGGCTACACTGCTATCAGCAGGAGAGCCAGTATTCCCTTATGGACTCTAACTCCAAAATCCATGCTCTTCCCACCAGGCACCTCTGTTGCCAGCATCCTCAAGGTTTACAGTACAGGAGTCCGAGGAGGGTCTTCTAGGGCCTCCCACAGTGCCAGCACTATGGCTTCCTACGAAGCCCTGGCCGAAGCAGAACTAACCACTGAAGTCACTCCAGGTTTCTAGATCCTGACCCATACAAGGAGCTGCAGTCAGGATTCTGTATTTGGTCCCTTGTAAGTCAATCTGTCATTTATTCTACAACTCTTACCAGATTATTTAATGCCATTGCCTTTTGTAAACATGAGCACTATAACTGAAAAATTAATGCCCAGATTCAGAGAAAGGCCAAGGGCTCTCACTAATGGTCATAACATGGGATGCAGGATGGCAGAAAGTATATTCGACTAACCACATAGCTCATGTTTTAACATACATAGTTTCCTTGGAGTAAATAAGAAAGGCTATATTTATTAAGTTCTCCTGTGTACTGGCCCTACACTTATTACTGCTGTATACACATAACATCCTCAAAATGGCCTCTGACAATCATCACTGACCCACAGTGCACAAATAAGGAAAATGGGACACAGGTTATACCACTTGCCCAGGACCACACAGTGCTGAGGCAAGAGAAAAGAATCCACAATAACGTACTCACTTTCAATTGTTTGGTTCCTTTGGCCGTTTTGAGTCCTATAATTACATGGCTAATGGTTTTACCATAACCCCCCATCGGGTTCTCTGTCTCACATGGAGTTAGCTCTGTGACTTCGCCTTCATAAACCTCCTTGGTTTCCTTTATCCGTAGCCCTGGAAGAGACGGCAGATGAACCCTAGTCAGAAACATAATTTTCTTACTCCTTAACAGCCTTTTTTGACACAAAACTTTCATGTCACAGGAATTAAGTCAACCTTACTGACATACATTCAAGGGTGTCATCCTGGGTAGAAAAATACTACAAACACAAATATAACAGAATGCAGAAAAATAATTTTATTTCAGCATTTCAAAGGGACTTTCTAGGTTCAAATCTAGACCTAGACAGACAAGCTGTAATTCTCAAAATTGTTTCAGACACATGCTACATGTCCAAGAGCATGAAACTTAGCTTTAGCCTCTAATCCAGTCTCTGAAACCAAACCATCCTACTCTACAAGAGCAGTAATTACAAATGCCTCACTACACCCTTTCTGACACTGTAAGACCTGAACAGGTAACTATGTTAATCAGAGCTCCATGTTAAGAACAGATGATACCTGACCATGCCAAGTGTTCTGGGCCTCTCTAGCTGACCCTCACTGCATACCCCAAGAAGCAACACCCCCAAAGTAAAGCATTTCCAGTTTTTAGATTAGAATATTATAAACAAGGGGAAATGTTTCTCCTCATTCTAAACATTGCCCATTTTAGCTGTTCAATAAATATTGGTTGTCAACGAACTAAGAGTTGTTGCCAAATTAATTTTTAGAACACGATCTCAGTGTTTTTTCATACTATGTTTTTGCTTCCTGACACACCCTTCATCCTCACCCTCCCCATCACTCCACACTCACCTGTGCCTCCCACTCGGCACCCACACACAGGACCACAGGGGCTTATAGACCTGACTGACCCTCTGTTAAAATGTCAACACTTGAGCTTGAGGACCTAGCACATTACAGGCACAGAGAAATGGATGAAGAAAGGAAATCACTTAAGGTTGAGGGAGTGTCATCAGGCAGATCATCTAATACCCAAGAAGTCTGCCTGCAGATACTTCAGCACACTCTATGTAAAGCCCAAGATCTCTAAGGAGGTTGCCATGTGATGCAATAGCCCATATCACCATACTATACCCCAACCTTAGCACCAAAACCCAGGTCTAGCCTAGATCAAACCTTTTCCTCCAAAGTCAACAGGGGAATAGGGAGGAGTGACTAGAACATAAGGAGCTTCTAGAGTTCTAACAAGGTCTGTTTCTTGACCTGGGTGCTGGTTACATGAGTATGTTGACTTTACAAAAACTCATTTACGTATATACTAATACTTATGCTCTTTTCGGTATGTGTGTGTATATTGGATATATAATACCTCAGTAACATTTACATAAGGAAACTGGATTTTTCTAACAAAGCAATGAAAATCATTAGTAAATGAAGGCTTTCTTAAAATAAGAAAACAAAAACATATCACTGAACACAGCTTCTTTGAAAACACATAACAGACATGCATACACATGCATGCACACATGTACACACAAACTCTGTTTCCATTCCCAAAGCCTGGGTTAAAAGATACAAATGACTTTCTCTGAAACCACAGTTATGCCAAAGGTAAGTTTAACAGTTAAATTCATTTTCAAAAAATTCTAAAATTCTAAAAACATCAAAGAAAGCCATTCTAAGTTGTGCCTGCCACCAATTCAACATCCTTGGGCACACTAGTTGAGGATGTTGTGCAGAAGGGGCCCTTAAACTGAGGGGAAAGATGGCAGACCATAGCAGTAGGAATAAACTATAAACTTATGACTTCAGGGCCTCTTCACCCGTATAAGCAGCCCTCCCAACCAATCTGTCTTTCATGTCACTATTTCCTTGATCCTTCACTGGAATAGTGAACAACAAGAGGTTCCATCACATCTCATTTCAACCTAGACCCGTGAAACAGCCAGGGTAAGTATTTATCTCTATTTGACAGGTGGGATGTCAGCTCCAACAAGTGAAGCAAAGAGGCCTTTCCTCCTTCATAGTAGACCAGGACTAGAGTCCAAGTTGTCAGGCTCCGGGAATGGTTTCTTCCTACCACACCACAAGATCCCAGCTCACTGACAGCCTTCTGCACAATACTTGCTCTGTCCTTTCCTCGCTTGCAGTTAACCTCATCCTTCCTTTTCTGCCAGCCCTTGGGTATAGCCTAGTCTCCACCTAATTTATACTTTGCCAAAGGAAAAAACATAAATGTAAGGGAAACCCATAAATGAAGAAGGTATTAAGAGCCCAGACAATGTGGCTCAGTGGTTGAGCATCAACCCATGGACCAAGAGGTTGCCAGTTCAATTCCTGGTCAGGGCACATGCCTGGGCTGTGAGCTTGATCCCCTATAGGGGGCATGCAGGAGGCAGCCAATCAATGTTTCTATCGCTCTCCCTCGCCCTTCCTCTCTCTCTCAAAAAAATCAATAAAACATATTTTTTTAAAAAGGTATTAAGACTTATCGCCCTGACCAATGTAGATCAGTGGGTAGAACATCAACCCGCACATGGAAGAGTCGTGGGTTCAATTCCTGGTCAAGGGTGCGTACCTAGGTTGAGGGTTTGATCCCTGGCCCCAACCAAGGAGTATGCAGGAAGGAATTATTTAATGTGTCTCTCACACATCAATGTTTTTAATCTCTCTCCCCCTTCCACTCTAAAAATCATCCTCAGGTGAGAATTTGAAAAAAAGAAAAAGAAAAAAGAAATACTACTGTACAGCATCCAAAATCACTATAATTAAAAGACTGATAACACCAAGAGCTCGTGAGGATGAAGAACAGGAAGGTTGCGCTGCTAGTGGGAGTATAAACTGGTATAAATACTTTAAGAACAACATGGTATTATCTCTGAAAGTTGAACACATGAGTATCCTGATTCTGCAATTCAACTCCTAGGTATATATACCCACTAGGCATGAGTGCACACATGCACCAAGAGACATAGCCAGTAATAGTCATAAAAGCATTGTTCTTAATTGCCAAACCCTGAGAAAACTCCACTGTCTGTCAACAATGAAAGAGACACCTGAATTGTGGTTTACTCATACAAAAAAACAGCACAGAGCAATGAAAAAGAATTACAACCACATGCAACAACAGGGATGAATCTTACAAACATAACTTTGCAGGAAAGAAGCCAAATGCAGAATATATACTGCAAAACTGCATTCATTTGAGGTTCAACAACAGGTACAACTACACTATAATGTTAGAATCAAGACAGTCATTAATTTGGCAAAGAAAAGGAGGATGGAGATTGAGGTGGACATGAAGGGCACTTTAGGGTAGTGTGGGCAACTCTTTTTCTTGACTGAGTGATGGTTTCATGGGTTTTCAACTTATGATAATCCACTGAGCTATATATTTATTATCTATATACTTTTCTGTATGTATGCATAAAATTATCAAGTCACCTTAAAAAGAAATATTTAAATAAATAATACTAGTGGGGACCTGGTAAAGGAAGAACACTGATGGTTTACATTTAGGAAACTCTGCTGTAAGCCTTAGCTAGAGTCTACTTCTACAGTAATGGTTCTTACCTTTAGAATCACCCAATGAGCTTCTCCATGCCCTGGCCACACTCAGGCCACTTACCTCCGAATCTCAGGGGTTGGGACCCTGCCATCATTATTAGTTTAAAGCTCCCCAGAAGATCCCAATGTATAGCCACAGCTGAGAACCACTCATCTAAAGAATAATGAACTCTGTTCTACTCAAAATGTGGATATAAACGACTTCTGATGGCAGGAAACCATGCTATGATTTGGGTGTCCTCACCATCAAGCCACTTCTGTTCTGATACAGAAATACCCCAATGGCAAAAAAAAAAAAAAAAAATACTGCCTAAAAAAAAAGAAGAAAAAAAAAAAGAAATACTGCCAGTGGTGTCAATCACTTCCCATTTTAAATGTGGTCATTATCTCATCCTTGGGTCAGTTGACTTCTTTCCCCAGAAATCCAATTTGAGCAAAGATTCTCTCAGATATTAAGGTTAAGGAAAAGTTTTTCTCTACCTTCACTCAATCTGATAGCCTACAAATGGAAGTTTTGGAATAGCCCCAAAATAGAGGTTGCATTTCATTTTTGCCTTACTAAATTCTTAGTTCCTAAACACCATGACAAAAATTTTCTAAACAATACATATGTAACAGAATATTGTGACAAACTTAGAAAATTCTGTACTTTGTTTATTTTTATTGATTTTTAGCAGGAGAGAGAGAAACATAAATGCATTGATCAGCTGCCTCCTGCATGCCCCCTACCAGGGACTGAGCTCACAACCCAGGTATGTGCCCTGACCAGAAATCAAACTGGCAACCATTTGGTGCATGGGGCGATGCCCAACCAAGTGAGCCACACTGGTCAGGGCAAATTCTGTACTTTTAAAATAAACTTTTGATTTTTCTTTTAATTCGAGGACATGTTTTTTTTTTTTAATTGATTTCAGGGCGGGAGAGAGAGAAACATCAATGTAAGAGAGAAACGGGGATCAGCTGCCTCCCGTATGTGCCCCAGCTAGGAATCGAACCTGCAACCTAAGTATGTGCCCTGACTGGGAATCAAACCTGCAACCTTTTGGTGCACAGAACAATGCTCTAACCAACCAAGTCACTTGGCCAGGGCTGAACTTTGATTTTTAAATCAAAACTTTTATGTCCCACAGAAATAAATTCCTCCAAATGGAAAAGTTTCCCTATATTTACTGTTAGACAACTATGACATGAAATTCCTTGAGTGGGGGGAAAAAAGGCATACCCATCTCTCACTAGTCCCATATTTGTTTAGAAGTTGCTCTGTGCTGACAAGCAGGCAGGGGATATAGTCAACGGACAATGGAACAGGCTATTAGCCAGGAAAGGGGCTGAGCTGGCACTATCTCTGGCAACGACAACACAAATGACACAGGTTTCATCTGCTGGCTCAGGTTTCTAAATCCCTGACAGGGAACTTCATCGCATCAAGGAAACAGCACAGACTCCTTGCTTTTTATTTCTGGTCAGCTTATTGCTTTCTCCCCACCCCCTCTGCCAACTTCACAGAAATTCAAAGGCAGAGAAATGTCGGCATGGTTCCTTTTTGAAGACTGTCAATGACCTGCCTTTTTATTCTGTGGCAGGATCAAGAAATTTCTCTTCACTTCGCTGCCATCAAAAGAACTGTGCTGCCCTCCTCACCACCTCCCCCACCCCCAAAAGGGCAAATCACAAAACTGCTGCCGGGGAAATTTATCTCTATTTTTTCAAATATGAAAGCATTTAAATTACCTTTAAGCAACCTAAACACATTTACTCATGTAAATATCAGTTTTGTCAGATCTTATCAATGTCAGAAAAATATTTTTCAAATATGTAAAAATGCATTTTATAACTGCACATATTTGAACCAGTTGTAACATCCTACTCATTATCTTATTAATTAATGAGTTAAATTAAATCTATGGCACGTGTTCATTAAATTATTTTAAAGTTCTCAAAAGATTTGAAACCCTGAAGAGGATCCTGTGGGCCATTTCCACTGTCTTCCTAGATAACAATGTGAAGTCCAAGGACAGCACTTCATGTAATAACACAGACTAAACCTTACAAATACAAATGTTACTAAAAAAGCAAGACACAACACCTAGAGTAGGTTCCATTTAGATAAAATCTGAAAGGGCAAAATTCAACCAGGCTGCCTAGGGAATACACACAAGGGTATACAGGGCTATGATGACCACAGAAGCCATTGCTACATAATTCTCACACTCTGGGTACACATGAGAAATGTATACCACGGAGGACATGAGTGACATCTATAGTGCTGGCTGTGCTCTACACCATGAGCTGATTGGTGACTGCATTTAATTTGTTAAATTATAGGTGCGTTTTACATACTTTCCTATATGTATATTTCAGTTTAAAACATTTTTTTTCTTTATTGGTTTTAGATAGAGAGGAAGGGAGAGGGAGAAATAGAAACATCGATGAGAGAGAACATTGACTGGCCGCCTCCTGCACACCCCACACCGGGGATCTGGCCCATACCCTGGAGCGTGTGCCCTGACTGGGAATTGAACTGGCGACCTCCTACCACTGAGCCACACCAGCCAGGCTTATATTTCAGTTTTAAATGGGCACTAAAAAATCCAATGTTTTATAATAAAAAATCATTTCCAATAAGAAATATTTTTCATTTTAAAAAACTTCCTATTCTGCCCTGGCTCAGTTGGTTGGAGCATTGTACCATACACCAAAAAGGTTGCAAGTTCTATCCCTGGTCTGGGTGGGTATCCGAGGCAACCAATCCATGTTTCTCTCTCATAATGATGTCTCTCTCTCTCTCTCTCTCCCCCCCCCCCCTTTCTCTTTAAAATCAAAAACATATCCTCAGGTGAGGATAAAAAATAAATATTCCAAGTAACAACACAAAGCAGCCTACAGAAACAGTTCACAATGTCTGGTCTGAAGCAAAAGTCCCAAACCCCAGTGCTTACCTGGACCTGGCAACTAACATTAAGAAGCAGAGCAAGTCTCACTGAGACTGGGGCAAGCTGGAGTGCAAGCCTGCTCTGAAAAGGAGAGCACCCACTTAGCTTTGACTGACTCTGCTGGATTCTTTCAAGAATCCAGAAAGAAGGATTTTATATGACATATTCCAAACTCTAAATACTGGCAACTACATAATTCAAATTTTATTTTTAAAAACACTATGTAAATCAAACAAAATATGTCTATTGCCAGACACAGACCAAAGGCATATATTCTTTAGCTAAAGGCTTCTGCTTTCTCTCTGCTTTAAAGTCCACCCGCTCACCCTGGCCGGTTTGGCTCAGCGATTACCAGAGCGTCGGCCTGCAGTCCAGAGAGACCCGGGTTCAGTTCCTTCTAAGGGTACGTATCTCGGTTGCAGTTTTTCCCCGGCCCTGGTTGGTCGTGCGGGTGGCAGCCACTCGATGTGTCCCTTTCACGTCGATGTTTCTCTCTCTCTTCCTCTCTCTCCCTCCCACTCTACCTGAATAAAAAATGGGAAAATGTCCTCAAGTGAGGATAAAAAAATAAATAAAAAATAAAGTCCACCTACTTGTATCATTCAGAAAAACTTCAGTGAGCACCTACTATGTGTCAACAACTGGGGCAACCTTTGTTGCCCACTGTATCTATAGTAGACATTTAATGACTATCCAATCTGCTCCTTCCCATACCTTCCCATCTCCCAAAATGACAAAACCTGGGAGAGGAAAACATCCTTGCCTCCTCTCTTTCTTTCAGCCCCCAACACCTAATCCCTTCAGAAAATCCTGTCAGTTCTGTCACCTAACTATATCCCAAATCCAATCATTTATCACCTCTACCACCACCACCCTGGTTGAAGCTATCAATATCTCTTTCTCAGACTTCTCATGATCTCCTTACTTGTATCCTTTCCCTCCTTATCGTAGCCAGAAAGATTCTTATAAAACCAAAACTATTTTCCTTTCACTCAGCCAAAAAGCCAAAGCCCTAACCATGGCCTAAGGACCTACCGGATCTTACCCCTAAACTAGACTTTAGCTGTCCTAAGATCCTGGACTAGACAAATCTATTCTTAAACTTTTATAATTTCCTTGAAGTTTTTAAAAAATCATTTCTAATTTTTTCAAATGTTTTTATTGACGTGAGAGAGAAAGATCCGTATTAGAGAGAAACATCAATCGGTTGCTTTCTGCAAGCACCCCACTCAGGGATCAAACCTGCAACCTGGGCACGTGCCCTGACTGGCAATCAAACAGGCAGCTTTTCTGTGCCTGGGAAAACACTCAACCAACTAAGCCACACCAGTCAGGGCTCCTTGAAGTTTCTTAGTAAACTTCCTTCTTCAGAATATTTACCTTTGACAACCAAAAGGACTGGAAAATGGTACAGGCACTGACCCGTGTTCATAACCCATGACTCTGCAACTAACTATATCCTAGAGACAGACTCCTGCATATGCAGAGACACATTAAATATATTTTAACAGCTTAAAAGTTATAAACTATTTATACAAGTAGGGAAGCTGAGATTTTCCCAGAGTTAAGCCAGAAGAAATGGGGCCAAGAGCCTGCCCCACAAGTCCTAGCTGGCAAGAGGGAAACATTCGGGAGAAAGGCCATTTCCTCCCCATAGCATATCTTTAAAGGATGAGTTCTAGAATCAGACAAATTAGGTTAAAACTAGAGCTCTGCTACTTACTAGCTAGGTTACTGTAGGCAAATTATTAAACTTTCAAAGTCTGTTTTATAAGATGCTAAATGAGACTGAGAGCTTCCTCTTGGCAGAGGGAAAGGCTATAATCAATGCAAGGGCCTGGCACATAACAAACATTCAATATGGTAGCTCCAAGCATTATGAGGTCAGCACCACCAGCCACAAAGCTCTGCCAGTGACCAAACGGTATCATCACTCTCTGATAGGCCACAGTTTTTCTGGCTCAACATCCAGAACTGGGGGCCCTCTGGCAGCATGACACACAATGCTTCTGGTTTAAGTCCAAAACCTTTCCAGTGGACAGTCATCTGTAAACGCATAAAAAGGCTGCCAGGAAAATCTAACTTGTCTCTTTTTCATTTTAAGTATTTTTAAAAAATATGTATGTGTTTATTCATTTTTTTAGAGAGAGGGGAAGGGAGGGAGAGAGAGAGAGAGAGAGAGAGAGGAGGGAAAGAAGAGGAAGGGAGAGGGAGGGTGAGGGGGGAGAGTGAGAGAGAGAAGCATCAATGTGAAAGAGAGCCCTGGCCGGTTTGGCTCAGCGGTTAGAGCGTCCGCCTGCAGTCCGGAGAGGCCCGGGTTCGGTTCCCGCTAAGGGCATGTACCTCGGTTGCAGTTTGTCCCCGGCCCTGGTTGGTCGTGCGGGTGGCAGCCACTCGATGTGTCCCTTTCACATCGATGTTTCCCTCTCTCTCTCCCACTTTGTCTGTACAAAAAAAAAAAAAAGAAAGAGAGAGAAACATCGATATGCACCCCAACTGGGGACTGAACCTGCAACCTGGGCATGTGCCCTGACCAGCAATCAAACTGGTGACTTTTTGGTGCATGGGATGACACTCAACCAACTGAGCCACAATGGCCTGAGCCTGATTTGTTTCTTAAAAATCACTTTATAGCCACATCTGTTTTGTCAGGTTAAGAATTCCAGCCTTAGAGCTGGGGCCAACGTTTGTTGATTGTTAAAGCACCTCAATTAGAAAAACTGGGTTTTGGTTTTATTTATAAAGATAACACTAATGGTGGAAAAAACAAACAAAAAAGAGCAGTGCAACAAATATAAACCATCAAGTCTTTTTCACAACCATGAGACCTCAGTGCACCATGCAAGTGAGAACTCCTACTCCCACAAACATGATACTCACCAATGGCCCTGCGGAAGTTCTCCATCAGCACTTCTGTCTTCTTGATCTCCGTAGAGTAAACTTCACTCCCCACCATGGGGCAGAAAGGCACCTTACTACCCAGCTCCTGAGCAATAGCCAGAGCTAGAGCTGTCTACAGAAAACAATAAAAACGTACTTGTTTTACATTCTTGAAAATATAATATATTGTTAAAAAACAACTATTAACCGGGAACAACTAAAAATCTAGTCTTTAGTTTTAACATCATTTGGCATGTTTCACACAATAAATGTTTGATGACTCATATGGATTTACAATCTAAATGGCATTTTTAATCATCCCTGTAATTACAAGTTATCATTCATTGAGACCCAGTGCAGACCCAACTCTAAGTGCTTCTTCACATGACCCTCCCATTCGCCCTATGAATTAGATACTACAACTCTTACCACTTTACAAATGAGGAAATTGAGAAACAGAGAAATTAAATAACACATCGCAGGTACCATAATCTAGAAAATGGAGGAGTGGGACATAAACTCTGGCAACAAGGTTACAGAGATCCTATTCCCATCATAATCAGTATACTCTTCCAAAACTGTTCCTTCAGTATCAAAACAGGGTCATGACCTAATTTCTAAGAACATCACTACTGGGTCTTTGACATAACTGCTTTCTTTTTGTATAGGTACAGAAAGACAACCCATCAGAAATAAATAAATTATGCAACATTCACTTTATATTAAGTGGTCCACACATAATGAATACATGAGGTAGGATTCTGAAGCTATGAACTGGTCTTAAATTACATTTGAACATGCCCTAGTAAAACCACAAGTTAGTTTTTGGTAAGATAACCACAGCTGTCAGATGCTCAACAGAAGCAGACTTTAGAGATATATGGTCAAACATCAAGTACAAAAACCTAGTCCTTTAAATCTGGTACAGGACTAGGAAATGCCATGACTTTTTAACGCCATTTTCATGTCACCGCAACAAGAATCTGAGTAAGGTCAGTTCCCAGGGTGTATGGGCTAAGGAAGAAAACAAGCTTGGTTCTGAAGAACAACAAAGTGGCTGAGACTGGTGTAAAATTGGCCCAGTAAAGGTACTGCTTAGGTTTTCTTTTTAATGCTCCTTTGGTGATAGTTTCTGAGATAGTAGAATCCCCTAGAGAATGAACATATAGTGAAGCCCTAAAAGCAGATACAGTGCTTTAATCCTGGTTCTGCCCCTAATTTTTAGTGTGACCCTGGGCACAGGGCAAATCGATGGGTGCCCAATTTCCTCATCTGCCAAATGAAGGTCCTGGGTTAGATCACAGATAGCAAATTTGTTGCCCACAGACTGGTTCTGTTTTGCCTGGCAGAGTCTTGTGTTTGTGTGTATATGTGTTTAAATTTTTTTTAATTTGTTAATTTTAGAGAGAGGAAGAGAGATAAACATCAATTTGTTGTTCCACTTATTTATGCATTTATTGGTTGATTCTTATATGTGTCCTGACCAGGAATCGAACCCTCACCCTTGGTGTATCAGGACGATGATCTAACCAACTGAGCTAACCGGCCACGACTCATTTATGTTTTTAAATTCAATTTGTTGCCTGGTCAGTGTGGCTGAATGGATTGAGTGTTGTCCCATGGACTGAGAGGTCCCAGTTCGATTCCCAGTCAGGACATATCATATACCCGGGTTGTGGGTCAAAGCCCCAGTGGGGGCATGCAGGAGGTGGCCAATCAATGTTCTCTCTCATCGATGTTTCTCTCTCTCCCTCTCCCTTCCTCCCTCTCTAAAAGTCAATAAATAAAAAAATACAACATCTGTTAAGAGCAATAAAACGAACTATGCCTATAGTCAGCTTCTTCTGAGAAAATAGGAGGTCTAGCTATAATGGGTGCTCATTAGCATGTGGCAGCACCTGGTATGAATCCCCAGAGCAGCTGCCTCCTTTAGTGAGGGGGTGTTGCTCCAGCCCACCACAGCTGCACCGCCCCCTGGAGCTTGCTTGCACCCAGGCACTTCACTCATCCCTACTACAGTATTTGTCTGAGCAGGCATCTGAGTTTGTGATCTTGACACTGATACCTTAGTATTCTAAGAGCAAAAGAAGGAAAATTTCTGGACCATGATGGGGCACATTGAGAGGAGTGATGCCCTGGCCATTATGGCTCGGCGATTGGAGCATAGGCCTGAAGACCAGAGAGTCTCAAGTTTGATTCCAGTCAAGGGCACATACCTCCATTGCAGTTAGGTCCCCGGCCCTTATTGGGTCATGCGGGAGACAACTAATCGATGTGTCTCTCACACATGACGTTTTTCTCTCTCTCTCCCTCTCTCCATCTGAAGATAAATGGAAAAAAATATCCTCAGGTGAGGATTAAAAAAAAAGAGAGGAGTGGCACTCTAACACCAGGCTTCCCAATGGGATTCACAGACTGGCCATGCCCACCTTGTATCTAAACCCTGCCACCTTCTTGGTTGCTCCTTTTTCATTCAGGTGTCTCAATAGGCCCAATTCCCTACCCTTGGTTGCAAACTTCAAAGACAATGACTGTATCTGATTCTATGGCATCCCTCCATTTCTACTTAATACAGAAGAGGTGATCATTATACTTCCTTTAAAATATGATAAATACTTAGTGAAGAAAAAGTGCTTCAGATGTGTCTAGTTTCCTCCATTTAAAAGTTCCCAGAAGGCAGGTATACAATATGGCTACTATATCTACTATACCTACACCTACTATATATAGTGCTAGGTCACCTGCAAGAGAGATCTCATTGAAGCCTCCAAACTAACCTATGAATTTAATAATACAGTTGGCATTTTACAGATTTAGAAACAAACTCAGAAGTTACCAATTCACCTCAGGTCAAACAGTTAGCAAGGATGCAAACCCCAATCTCCAACACATTATTTCTTTGTGCCCACCCCCCATGCAAGTGGCACACAAAAAAGAGGTGGTTGACAAAAGAAGATTAAAGAAATCTACTTTATTTTCAATCTCATCTGAACATCTTTTTCTTTTTATAAATTTTTTTTTTTGAGAGAGAGACAGAAACATCGATGAGAGTGAACATCAATTGGCCACCTCCTGCACGCCCCCCACTGGGGGTCCAGCCCACAACCTGGGCATGTGCCCTGACCAGGAATCAAACCGGCAACCTCTTGGCGCATGGATGCTCAACCACTGAGCCACACCAGGCAGGCTGAACATCTTTTTCTAAAACCCAACACACAGCCTTGTTATTAATGGTTTGAGGTTCTCAAAAATGGAAGGTCTATATGTACCATGTATTTGCATCTCTAAATAAGCACCTGTCACTCAGTTAAGTTGCCTAAATTTGGGGCCCATCAGCATACTATAAAGCAGGAGAGTTACCACATGCCTTCATACATGAAAAAGGAATTGGACAAATCTGTAAGTGCTGAGAACTTCTCATGTTTCCTAGGAGGAAAATAGTATATTACAAAAGAAATGAAGGACTTACGCTTCTGAAATAGGCCAGTAAGCCAGGATAAGTGGAACAGGAAAACTGAGACAAGATAAACAGCAGTTTGCAGCCATCTAGAAAATCAAGATGCCAAGCAGTTTCGCCATCCAGTAATCCTACCTTCCCTAAATAGGGACGCTTAAGAGTAAATGATTTGCAATTCTCTGCAAAGGGTAAGTAGCTTAATAATTTTTTTCTTTCTTGATTTTATTTATTTATTTATCCTCACCCAAGGACATTTTTCCATTTTTTGTTCAGATAGAGTGGGAGGGAGGGAGGGAGGGAGGGAGGGAGGGAGAGGGGGAGAGAGAGAGAGAGAGAAAAACATCAACATGAAAGGGACACACCTGCATGACCCAACCAGGGCAGGGGACAAACTGCAACCGAGGTATGTGCCCTTAGCGGGAACCGAAACCAGGTCTCTCTGGACTGCAGGCCAACGCTCTAACCACTGAGCCAAACCAGCTAGGGCAGGGGTAAATAGCTTAAATCACCCTACTCAGGAAGACAGATAGCAAAAATACAATTTGTGTCATTTACCAACTACACTCAAGGACAGATGAAGTTGAGAATAAACCTCATTTTGATACATCAGCATAAAGCTTATGAATATTCTGTTGAGATCATCCCCTAAACACCAAGTCTTTAAAACCTCTCAAAACAAAGGTCCCAGGGAGCATTCTCCATCCCAGGAGCACACCCACACCTAACCCACCACTTTCGTCCCCCACAGGCACACATCTCCTAAACTCTCAGAGACCCCATGAGGCTTGCAACCAGGAGGTTCATCCTGGGTAACCTCCTGAACCTGTCCCCAAGGCCCCCTTTCCTCTGACTTCTTAATGAGCCAAAGCTGACCAGCTTAGGTTCATTTCCAGTGCTTCCTTGTTTCACTGTCCCCAACTTTAATAAACATCTTCTAAAATTCACTTGGACTCATGTTGTGAAATTTTTCCTGTATGAAGTTAAGAACCCACACACTACAGGCTGGTCCTAGGCAGACCGCTCAGGGCCAGGTCCCCTTTTTGGCAACAAACTCTGGTGACCTGGATAGAACTCCCAAATGGCGACTTGAAGCATGCCTGTGCCTTTCTCTTTCCCTTACCCCCCCCCCACCACTTCCCCAGCACACTGCCCTGGCCCTTACCTCTCCTAGCTCTATAACAACAGTACCATTTCGCCCTTGCCAACATTATGGTACTGTGATTCAGATCGCTTTGTTACTGGTAAACCAGTCATCCTAGCTGCCTTAGCTTGAAAGACCTGACAAAATGTGTTTTCTTTCCTCCTTGTATCTCTTCCTCTGGCCAAGGGTTTTCTCTCTCTATGGATTGCTCTACTCTGCAGGCATTGGAGCACTTAAGAGCTGTTAGGGGGCTTGCTGCCTTTTTAATTTATTTTTAATCCTCACCCAAGGATACTTTTACATTTATCTTCAGACAGAGTGGGAGGGAGGGAGGGAGGGAAAGAGAGAGAGAGATCTATTGGTTGCCACTAGCATGACCCCAACTGGAGCCAGGGACAAACCGCAACTGCGGTACGTGCCCTTGGCTAGAATCGAACCCAGGACTCTGGTCCGTGGGTCAATGCTCTAACCACTGAGTTACCGGCCAGGGCAGGGGGCTTGCTGCTTTTAAAGACTCCTGTGACCAGGATAAGTT